CTGCTGCTGCTGGTGGTGGTGGTGGTGCCACCCAGCATTAAGAGGCAACATCTACTGCAGATCACTAACTAGCCTGCTGAATGTCCCAAATTCAAAATTCAAAGTATGATTGCTACTGAGAGCACATTGCATTTGCATCATTGTAAAGTTGTCAATCAAACCCTTGTAAGTCAGGAATCATTTGTAATATTTTTAAAAATTGTTTTTACCTTTCTAGGACTCACAAGCAAATTCAGGAAATAAGTCATTCTGTCTTCTGAACTTACTATATTTGCACTCATCCCATTGGACACGCATTTGTTCACAATGGGTGTAAACAACAAACATTTGGATCGGAATAAGTAAATATGTAAACTCTCAGGATAAAGTCATGCCTGGCCCTCCTCAGAAGAATTATTTTGCAAAGATTTTTGTGCTGGCAGGTTTCTGTCGCTTGATTAAAGCCAACAGAAACAGTGACATTCCTATCAGATTTATCTGTGACCCTTAAAGTATTTAACAGAGGGAATAGAGCCTGAAACGCAAAGGCAAAGCTAGGAGCGAGCTTCAGAGCCCAGCTTGGGGAGGAATAAAGAAGGGAAGGAAGTGAACTCTTTGGAGCATGCGTTTCATGGAGTTATGAGAATCACGGCTAACAGCTGACCCAAAGGCTGGAAAAGGGAAATGGAAAACACTAAAAGATGACAGGGTGATACTTAATGTGAAAAGTACTTCAGACTAGTCTACAAAAATAAATTGGCTATTTTAAAGACCTGGTGAAGAAACTGACCAGAGGCCATTCTGAGTTTTGGCTGTCAATCCAAGTAGCAAGTAAAAGACCAGCAATAATAGAGAGTTATAAAGAGACCTAGTTTGAAAACCAGATGGGAAGCAGCAGCATGTACAATCAGAACAAAACAGTCAAGATGTAATTCTAAATGGCAGCGTGCAGCTGCTTCTAATTTTAGTTTGCTTTCTTCTCCTTCCCTCTACATTTTAGAATTGTTTCATTTGTTTGTTATTCTAAATCGACAATTGTCATCTGTTTTGTCTGGTAAATACATATCTCTTTGACTTTATACGGTTAAGCATTCACATAGTATCTATCTAAAATCTCTTCGTCTCAACCCTAAAATTTAAAATTTATTAAAGACCACTGCCACCACCAGTCTGCTGTGTCTGGTTTACCCCAGAGGAAGACCAGTTGCCGCCAAGTGTTTGGGAAGTTGGGAAAGGGAGGTTGACAGAGGCCTCACAGAGCCACTTGGTCAGCCCTCAAACCTCCAAAAACAATGAGAACATGTCATACAGATATAAATAAGCATGAACAATGCGTTTAAGTTCCATCCCAGGGACAATCTCTTGAAACAAAAGGAATATTTTGATATTTGTACTGTCAAACATGCAGATACTTCATTTTACCTGAGAATATTCTAGACCTATGATTTAGGTGCTGAATTTTTGTTCAGCCCCATGAAGCACCTTACACATTCTAGGCTAAAGAGGTGGAACTAGAGTCTCAAATTAGTGAGGTCATTCTTAACTATTTTATAATGAAATTAGGCCATATAAATGGACTTTTCAAGCTCAGAAATAATATAAAATTTTAAAGGCAAGAGCTATGGAATAGAGGATGAGCCTTCTCGGGACTGACTTGCTGATCATCCAAGACTTAATTCTACTATAAAAACAAATCCGGCATGTAAAACACAAAGAGAGTTAAATTAAACTGGGTGTGTGGCCCACTCATGTAATCCTAGCATTCTGGGAGACTGAGACAGGAGGATCATAAACTGCAGCCCAGCCTAATTGGGCAACTTACAGACTTAGCAAGACCCACTTCAAAATATAGATGATAGATAGATAGATAGATAGATAATTGATAGATAGATAGATAGATAGATAAAGATGATAAATTTTAGAGTTGGGAATGTAGTTCAGTGTATAGGTACCCGTACCCTGGATTCATTCCCCAGTACTGTACAGGGAGGAAGAAACACATTATGAACAAAGATCCTTACGCATTATTTCACTAGAGGGCTCACTCTCCTTATAGACACTGTTCTTCAATTCTATTTTTGTTTTTGGGGGGTTTTTTTGGTACCAGGAATCAAACTCAGGACCTTGAGCTTTCCAGGCAGGCATTGTGCCACTAAGCTATATCCCTGGCCCTCAATTCTATTTGTTTAAAAAGCCCCTTTATTGGAAAAACTTCATACTCCTTCAAAAGACAAGTTTGTCTTTTCTAAGAATTAGAATATGTAAAGGACCTCACCCATTCCTGTAAACCCTAGAGAAACATAGATGAACAGACTGCCATAGAAAATTTGTGTATGAAAGATTTTAATGATCTATTTCTCCAACACTCCCATATTTTAACAAGTTTTCCTTTAGGTTAAAAAAAGGCGGAAAAGTGAATTGAAGGACTTTTGAAAATAAATGTGCTAACCAAACTACAGCTGTCACATGAATCCCACTCATACTTCTCTTAAAAGATTTGCTCCAAAAATGCCATCCTGAACTTTATTCCCAGAGTTACTGAAGACGGGGAGCCCTACGTCCAGCCAGAAGAGGAAAACTATGAGAATGACTCAGTGCGGCAGCTGGAGAATGAGCTAAAGATGGAGGAATACCTGAAACAGAAGCTGCAGGATGAAGCCTACCAGGTACCAAGCCAGGTGTCCCCCCTACCTCCATCTGTAGCCCACCCCAGGGAAGGTCAGCCTTTCACATCATTCCTTCCTTCTACCCTGCTTTCCAGAGCATCTTGAGGGCCCTCCTTAACCCCTGTATTCCAGTAAAAACCCATGTATTCAGTAGGAGGATGGAACCCAGAGTCTTTGCACAGGGCTACGTCACCAGCCCTTTTTTAATTTTTTTATTTTGAGACGAGGTTTCACTAAGTCACTAAATTGCCCAGGCTGGCTTGAATCTGTGATCCTCCTGCCTCACTCTTCCAGAGTGCTGGGATTACAGGCATGAGCCACCGTGTCCAGCTTTACACTCTTCCTATAGCTGCTATTCACTGTGTATTTTCATTAATTCTGGTCTGGAAAGTGAAAGGAGGCTCGAGACATTTGTGGGAACATAGTAAGGAACAATTGAAACTTCTCTAAGATTATTAAGATACTGTGCTTCCATAAATTGAAAAAGAAGGCTCGGTGTGGTGGTACACACCTACAATTCCAGCTATTTGGCAGGCTGAGCAGGAGGACTGCAAGTCTGAAGCCAGCCTGGGCAACTTAGGCAGATCCTGTCTCAAAAATAAAAAGGAGCTGGAGATGTAGCTCAGTGCTAAGGCACTTGCTAACATGGCTAAGACCTTGAATTCAGACTTCAGTACTGGAAAAAAGAAAAAGAAAAAAGGAGAAGGAAGAGAGTAGGAGGAGGAAAAGAAGGAGGAGGAGGAAAAGGAAGAAGAAATGATAGTTACAAGGAACAGAGTGCAAGGAAATTGAATCAACATAACTACCTCCTCCCTCTTGCATTTGTGGTCCACAACGTTTCCCACCGGCCATCTCATGCCAAATGTAAATGGAAGGGTGACAAGATTCATTGAGAAATACCAGAGGACCTCTAGGCCCAGGTTCAACAGGGGGAAGATAACACAATCTTGAGATAATCTGGAGTGTTAACCCATCTGAGAATTCATAAACATAGTACATGCAACCAAGAATAAATGCGATTAGTCACTTATCTCGAAGGCAGTGCAGTTTCCCCAGGTATTGTTCCCTGGCTTTGTTTATCTCCCTGTGTGCATCCTTTCTCTTCAGCCCACAGGTGTTGTTGAAGATGTGTTGTTGGCTTAGGAAGGTTTGCCCGGTAAAGACCTGCTGGTCCCTGCCTTACTGCATATTGTTTCCCTGTCAGACTTTCTGTCTAAGGGCCCTACAAGCTTTCTCCACATTCTTAAGACACTAGTGGTACTTTCTCACTCTGTTAGTCAAGGACAGAGAAACTGAGGGAAAAATATCTCCTAGTTCTCATATATTTATACAGTAAGCCTTGAAATACATTCCCAAGAAGAATGTAGCAAGAGAGAAACTGAAGCCCGTCAACTTCACCCCACAATACAAAGCAAAATTCTTGCTTCTTTGGAATGTTCCACTGGCCCTTCAATTTAACAGCCACATTTCAGAAGAAACCAAAATATTGTTCTAATTATACAAAAAAGAAGAGTGATGATATATGTGGAGCCATGTGCCTATGCTACAAAAACATAGTTACCCGGCTGCAAATACGTGGAGTACACTCTTGCTTTGTGACTTCTATGGCTCCTCCACAAGAAGGAATTAGCCTGGAATGAAGCTGGTAGGACCTCGCTGGGAACTCTGAGGGACACCATGCCTCTGAGTTCCTTTCGTGGCAAAGAGGGAGAGAGGTGAGGCTACATAATCAATGCTCTAGTCCATGTTGTTAGAGAGAGGTGTTATGCCTCCCTCTTTGAGCTCTGGTCAGTTTCTGGATTTTGTTAACAAAAGTAATTGAAATTCTAGTTCTTTTAAAGAAAGGCAACCTTTTATCATTCTATATCAAATGTTAGATTTTTATTTATTTTAATAAATTAGAAATTGAGCCTTACCTGAGTAAAATGAAGAGAAATCGTATCAATGTCTTAAAATTCAACTGGAGTTTTGGCCATCTCTGGTAAGTCTTAAGCTCCTTGTCTCTGTCCTTACCTTTCCACACCTGGTGACTTCAAGGGAAAGGGCAGGAAAGGGGCTGGGAAAATGTAGCAAGCCCTTGCTTATGTCCCCACTTGAAACATCGTATGCTCTGGAGAACGCTGAAGTGGTTTTCCTTGAATGCTCTGTGAGCAGAGTGATTGGATGGCTCTGAGTGCTACTTTCATTCATTGGACTCTCTTTGTCTTTGTGCATGGCTTCCAGCCAAATAATTCACCAGCTTGACTGCATCACTGACTTGACATGTCACCTTTCTGCTTTGTATCCTTTGTCACCCACAGGTCAGCTTGCAAGGTTGAATGCAATATCCTTTTATCACTCTCCTCTCAAGTAAGTACCCTCTTGTTTAGGAGGAAACATGGACACTGTACACTGAATTCTGATAACTTGTAGCCGAAATTCACAATCACTCTGTCATAGACGTTCCTTTCTATGTGATAGAATATCCTCCTTCCAAAGAATCATCTCAGTTTATAGAGTATTTCATTAGACTCCAGTGGAAATTTCCCAAACTCTTTTGGGAGTTGACTTTTTTACTCTGTTGATTAGGAAAATTGAAGTACCAGAGAAGCTCCAGGGGCTTCCTTGGCCAGGAAGCTAAGGTAGCGCCATCACCAATGCACCGTGGCATCAGAGTATCTGCCCTCTATTACATGAGAAGGAAAAGATCGACTTGCTCAGTATCTCCAGATAGGTCAGCTCCTTAGTCATGCTGAACTCGGGGTCTAAAAGACCAAAAGTATGTACTTTAATAAGTGAAAGCAAATTCAAGTATCATTAAAGAAATAAAAGAATCAAAACACTGGTAAAATTTTGCAGCCTTGTATTTTTGAGACAACTAATTCAAATATATTATGGAATTCAGAAGGATATAAAATAATTTAAAATAATGTTTACGTGTTATGTGACCCTACCCCAAGGATCTACATGAATATGTGTAAATCCTCAGTAGTTTTTAATGCAGAAAAATTGTAGTTCACTGGCAGGCTACTTGAATGTAGTGGTCTAAACTTGGATTCTATTAGAGCCAATTACAAATATGGCAGCATATTTCATCAAATTCTAGCAGCATAAATACGGGCTAATTATTAGACCTATATTAGCCTCAGTTTCCTCTATGTGACATATGTCACAGCATCTACCTTGCAGAGGAGCTTCACACCCTGGAACATAGTTTTTAAAGAGCTTGACACAATGGTAGGCACACTATAATTTATTATGAGTGTACAAAATATTCCTGTCACTGAGCTCCATGCCTTAGATGCAATTTAATATCTTGAGCTGCTCTCAAGCACTATATAGCAGCAGTATAAGCGTATGGGCACCACCGAGACTCAGAACTAGCTGGCTCTCTCCACTTTTATAAACAAGGCCCAGACTCAGCCACATGGCAATGACTTGAGAGACTTTGGGCTACACTGTCCCATAAATCTAGATGGTTTCTCTGGTTTGAGCTAATGGCGACTTAGATGTGTCCCATTATAGTTCAAAGCTAATCACTTCCCACAGTAATCCAGTTGCAGTGGTCCAAGGACTTGTGTCTATTTTAGGTATACAGTCCGTTCCAACCATGGAATTCCATAATGCAACTGATAGTAAACTTTACCAACTATGATTGCTAGTTTAAAAAGATTATATATATATTTCTTCTATACTCTCTCAACTAGCAAAGAGCAGAAGCTAGACTGAACACTATTGACCTCCTGTCTCAGTCTTTAAATCAAGATTAAGCAAAGCAAATTCTCACATAATTGCTATGATGACATACACTTTACGAGCTGTGAAGAAAGTTCTTACTGACCACACTCTACTCTTCCTTCCTTAAATTTCAGAATGTAATACCACATCCTCCTGGATTCATTATGACTACAGTGAAAAAATTCCCAGGGGCATTCTCTGAAAATATTCACTGTACTCGTAACAAACCCAATCTCAGAGGAACAAACCTTTTCCATTAATAATAGTTCCTTTCCCTTAGCTTCAGCAATTTGGTCATTTTTGTTTTGTATATGTTTAAACATTACCGATTAATTCTTAGGAAAATATTTCTTTTCAAAAAGAACAGCTTTGATACAACCCTACATAAAAATTGGCATTGGATTCTTCTTGTGCCTAAATATGAAAATTTTCAGTACCTGCAAGTTCTTCGGCCATTCATTAATCTTTTGTTGCAGATTTGGCAGTGAAGAATTAAATAGTTGTGACATCAGTCATTTATTCCATTAGGTACTCCGCGTAGTTTACATTCCATGCGACTTTAAACAGAACCAACCTGTTGCTGAATCAGTTATTTACGCATAAGTCATTTAAAAATCTAATAGAATACTATAAAGGCTAGTGGCTTTTCATCCTTGTAGCTAGTTCTATGCTACCATAATTTTTCTTAGGGGCTGGGGATTTAGCTCAGCGGCAAAAAAGCGCCTGCCTGGCAAGCGCAAGGTCGTGAGTTCGGTTCCCGGTACCGGAGAAAAACCAAAACCAAAAAAAAACCAAAAAAAACAAAAACAATTTTTCTTAATGTAGCCAAGGAATGCAATTGAAATTTTAAAAGCTTATATTATTTAAATATTTTTTTGAACTCTATGACTGTATACAAGACCAAAAATTATCCCAGCATATATGTATCTCTTGTCCATGGATCCTGAGCTGAGTTCATCAGCTTGATGCCAGTCAGCCACCTACCAAGGCAGAGCCCTACCTACGTGGGTATGGAGCAGAGGATGAGACATAGAAGATTCATTCTTTGATTAAATAGGACTTTAGACCTATTTTAAAATATACACTTCATTGGGGCAAGGGATATAGCTCAGTGGCACAGGCACCTGCCTGGCAAGTGCAAGGTCTTGAGTCGGATTCCCAGTACCCAAAGGAAAAGGATACACTCTTATCAACATACTAAGCAAGTAAATAGAGTACTTGGGTTGTTGCTTTTAAACTAGTCACTTTTGAAGAAATAATATACACAATGGTTAGTACTCAGCTTAGTGTTCTCCAAGGCACCATTTTTGTCCCCTCGAGTCTTGGGTTTGTTACTTTTTCATCCTCTGGCCACATAGTATATCACTGTCCTTGGCCACTAGAGGACTAACTCCAGAAACTAGGAGACTTAACCATAGAAAGTGGATTTTTTAAAAATCCAGAGGGCATTGTGATGGTCAGTATATCTACCTTTTTCTCACAAAGGACAGTACACATATTTCTGCTTGTGTTACTTAAACTTTCCAGAGAGCTCAGATACCCATTAGGAAAGAGATTCAACAAGGAGGACTTCCTGTCCTCTCTTCCAGAAAGTGTGACAGTGCACAGTGTCTTAGGACATTTGTCCCTGATTGCCTGATTGGCATAGGAAGGAAGTACAGTGAGTGGATATGCGCGCGTGCGTGTGTGCGTGTGTCTGTGTGTGTGTGTTGGGGAAAGGGGGATCCTAAGATTCATAACTCTAATTTAGAAACAGTTTTCATCTTTTAAAAAAAATTACACATTCCTTATTCCCAGGCAAGCTATAGTCAGACAGATGATGAAAGTAACATGAAACATGATGATGATGGAGAGCGATGTACCCACACTGAGGAGGAAGACAGCAGCTGGCAGCAGCCTCGTCGAAGAGAGGAGCCACCACACCCAGCACCTCCTGACAAACCCCACTCTAAAAATGTGTTCTGATGCCTATAGTGCAGCTAATTTTTTGTTCTAAGATTTGTAGTTCATAGGTGTGTGTTCTAGAAGGGGAAAAAAACAACTTCTGTTCTAACCTAATTTATCAGCTACATCTCTGTAACATGGCTCATCCCGGAGAATCCATGCTGCTGTTACACACGATGGCAGTATTAACAAGCATTTTAAACTTTTGCACATGATGTTGAACCTGTTCAGTTTACAATGACAATATTAATACTGTTTAGAGCTAGAAGTTTGATTTCTGGATTCTTTGAGATTTTAGCAAAACAGTTTATTATACACTGTACATTTTTTTCCACTGTAATTGGAAAAAAACAACCACTTGCAATTGTTCACTAAGCCTGAAGGACTTGGTTCCTGAGTGTTCAAACTCAGAGCCCAGAAGCCCAAAAGGGCCTTTGGTCTGCAGCTGACCCCAAGTCTCAGAGAGCAGTGACTTGAACCAAACACCAGGAATAATCCATTGTTTGGAGCTTCTTTCCAACTTGAGGTTGTTTTCTTTCAAGATATTCTAACAAGTCAGCCATAGAATTTAGTGTAAATATTTTTTCCAAATAGATATCATATTCAAAAAAAGACAACATTCAAATTATATAGAATCTAGTTTTTAAAATCAGCACAGATCTTCTTAAAAACTGTGAACTATGTTTTGAAATACTCGTTACTAAAGCTGTTTATAAACCACAGGTGCCATAAGATCCCCAAACGGACTAAAGTTATCTATGCTTTTCCATGGTCTTGTTCCTCTTGTTTGAGCTTCAGGAAGCATGTCTTTAACAGCACCACGCAGTTCCCCTATCAGGTTGTTTGGAGGCCTTCAGCTTTAAATGTACAGGCTTAAAGTGCGCTTGCAAACGTTCACTCTCCTTTTATTTCTGAATGTTTATTGCCTTAGCTGGCCACCTGGTGTCCTGCATGCGGTGTTCTATGGTCCTGTGAGACAAGCTCTTCTGTGTTGAGTTGGGATTTTGCACTCAGTGAGAAGCTGAAATGCAAAAGAACTGTCAAAGACAAGAGGATAAAAGACTTTGTTTGTGGCCCTTTATGAGGGCCCCTGCTCTAAAGATCTCCCTTAGGGATTCTGAGGAAAATGGAAAAGTAATTTTCTATTTGTTTCAAGATCTGAATGGGGTAGACCCCCACAATATATTGGACATATATACTTAAATTAGCAGCTTCTCTGGAATTCCTGGTTTTCCTTTAAAAGAAAAAAAGAGAGCATCATGATAGAACAGCGGTTCTCAAAATGTAACCACCATACCAGCAGCATCAGCAGCATCTGAGGATAACATAAAAATGCAAAGTCCTCAGTGCCAGCCCAGACCCGCTGAGTCAGAAACTCTGGGGATTGGGCCTAAGAGTCTGTGTTTTATTCTGCCACCCAAGTGATTCTGATGCATGCTAAAGGTTGAAAACCACCGCTTTAGAACAAATTGTAGCAAATAATGTCTGAAAAGACTTTATTCAGAACAAGTAAGAAAGATTCTGAGTCAACCTCAATTCAGTTTTGCTTCAGGGTCTGGCAAAAACCTCTCACCCCACATACCTGGTCTGCATTGGAGGGTACCTGGCTGAGAACATGTATTCTGATAACTTCAGGCTCCTTTTCAGAGGCCTCTCAAATGTTCACACCTCTGCATTTGGTCAGAAACCATCTCCTTGGTTGCCTTTTGGAACAAAATCACTTGCCTAGGGGATCATAAAGTGCTTGACTGGGATCAGTAAGAACCCCATCCCATCCCTGGATGTACTTATTCCTGCTCCCCTCCAGAGAACCCACCTAACAGATGTCCCTGAGCCCAGGCTAACACCAAAGTGGCACAACTACAAGGTTCTCAGATTTCTTTGCACAGATGGATTGTATCATGGGTTTTGTTGGTATGTCTTAATGTTCATCTCTCTTCCACTGCCCATCCTCTGTGAAACCATACCTCTCTAGATGGAGCAGGTGGCCACTGGTGCCTCATACTCAGTACTGAAAACCACTACATCCCAGCTACCTACATTGCTGGCAGCTCAAATATCAGAGCCAGGTGGTTCTTGAACTCAAAACTCAGACCCTGCAAGTGGCACTCAGCCACTGACTGGACTGAGCTGACATGTGTTGTCTCTTTGTGTTTCTACATCTCAATGTTTGTCTAAGGTTGGAACTGTTCTGCTGAAGACCTTCTCCTTGTCATAGTTTCCATTGCCAACCAACTCCATCACATGGGTGTTGATACCATCGTACAAAGCCATTGCAAGGACTCTGGAAATTACCACCAGTGACCAATTTCTGACTAACCAGCCACCTTTTCTTTCTCTTAGCTCCACGTCAGCCCTGAGACCAGACTCAAGCACCCCTGTCCTGTAACCGAGACAAAATGGCGTGTGTTGTTTTGGGTTTTTGTGGTTTTTGGTGGGTTTCTCTCATTGGCTCTCCAAATTTACTTGTGGAGCCTGTTCTAAGTATAAACCCAGCAGGTTTCATCTGTTCTGTCCATTAGCTACAACTATGTCTTAAGGGGGTTGTTCCTTTCTTGTTCCACGGTGAATTGCACATCCGTCGCCATCAGAGCTGATGGCCTATTAATGAGCACTGGTCTAACACAGCCAACCTCCCCACAGCACCATGTTAATGGAGGAGGGCAGGAGGGAGAAATCTACTGTATAGGATTCAGGAATCCGTTGTGGTTGGTCAGGATGGAAGTCGGGGTAAGTTTGGTTGGTCAGAGGGAGATGTGCTGGAGATTGTGAAAATGGATTCTCGGATGATCTACTATAAGGCAGGGAAGGTTCATTTGTAAGTAGTAATGTGAACTGAATTGCATTAAGAGTGTGGCCTTGTTGTGATATACTACGTATTTTCTTATATGCATGAGCCAAACTGTTGCATCATAATTTAGCACTGATGTCTGCTTTTATTTTGATCATCTTCATCCTCCCTTATTAGTTCTTGGCTGTTAACGGTAGATAGATCTTGTAAATACGGCAACCTTTGGTTGCTGCATTCACCTTACCCGATTCCACATAAAGAGCCACAAACAAGAACTCCACTGTGTCCTCAGAAGAAAGGGCATTTTTACTTTTGAACCAAAAATAGAAAAAAAATCAGAAATGTCACATCTTGAGGCTAATTATCTGTAAAACATTTTTAATTATGACTACTATAATTTGACACCATTTGAAATAACCAATCCAGAGACACTAAAGATTTCACAATATTCATTGGTGTTGTAACAAAACTACTATTGTATGGATTTTTTTGTATTGCTGTTAAGTATTGTTTTGTGTGTATGTGTGTGTGTGTGTGTGTATGTGTGTATGTGTGTATGTGTGTTGGAACCTCCTGGGGACATGTTATATTTTGAAGTGATTAAACTATTTAATTGTGTGTCTATATTTTGGAATGGAATTATTTCTTCATTAAAAATGTTTTTTAAAACACTATCATGTATGTTTTGTTCTTTGGTTTCAATGAGGAACACAGATCAACACAGAATAAGTTTGTCTAAAGAAAGATGGGTCACTGTTTGCTGTATGGAGCAGGAACCACTGATGGAATCTTGAGCAACTGAGACAAAATAGTCCACCTTCTCCTGTAAATATTTGTATGGAGATATTTTATATATATATGTTTATACATATACATAGAAAGACAAAGAGTCTGCCAAAAACAATGTATATATACTTCAGCAGTTCACTGTACTAATAAATGGCTAGAAGTTAATGGCCACTACTTTGAGCACCTCCAAGGTAACTTGTATTAATCTCATGATGTCTTCATAAGTTTAATATGAAAATATTAAATAGGTTTAATAGTAAAATATTTATACAAGTTTTTGATGTACACATTTTGGCAGACTCTGCAAATGGATATATATATGAAGATATATAGGTATGTACTGTAATTTAAGCTGATGGGATCATGGGAATCCCTGAATTTATGGCAAGTTAGTGAGAAGAGTGAATGGCTCCACAGACTTACGACTGATCTTAAGTGGGGGCAGTCTTGTGAAGGATTTTGCCCTTCACCAGTGGGATGTGCTCTACTCCTGTCTGGAAGACATGATTAACTATGTTAAACGCAGCAGGTAGGTCAAGTAAGGTAAAAACAAGGAATCAACCCATCACATGTGTATTGAAATGAATGCACATAATGTCTTTAAGAATTTCACTGATGTTTTCAAGTTTCAAGAAGTCCTATATTCTCAGTGAAATCTTGAGGAGCACTGAGTGGAAATTCACGTTTGTTTTCCTTCTGAAAGCCTTAGGGGACTTACTGTGTCACACAGAGCACTGTGAATCTGTTACCATGGCTGATGGGGTCTGGGACAGGTTTTCAGGTTCTCGCGCATGACGAAGAACTGGACGTGGCACATGACAGTCAGGAAAAAGCAGCAATGTTTATGAACCTTAAAGGAGGAAGGTAAGTTCAGAGAAAGTAGGCTCATGCTACCAGAAAGGAAGATGGCGTGGAGGATTTAAGAATTTAAAATGTTGTGCTGGTCCCAGGGCATCTCTCATTGGGCCTTTTAGAGCATGGCTGACAACAGGGTTAACAGTGCTGAGTCATACAAGTTGTATCTACTATGTATGTCATTTCCCATAATTTACTCCTTATAACTGGGTACAAACCTTTAACAAGCTCCAAGTGAGGAAGGTCACTGTAGGTCATGCCAGCAAGTCTAGCACACATGCATCCTGCTTTGGAATTTTGGAAATCTCCAAGGATCTTCATTACTCTTATTTCTAGGTAGTGGGCCTTAGGACAAAGGTCAGAGAACTTGGCTCTGGGGCATTGCCCGTGTTCAGGTGAATGGAGGAGAGTCAGCCCATAGCCCCTGTTGTACTATCTACAGAGTCTGCCCCCAAAAAAATGCATACACACTTCAGCAGTTTTCCACACTAATAAATATCTGGAAGCTAATGCCTACCATTTTGAGCACATCTTGTAATTGTAGAAGCCAAAGGTAACATATTAATCTCATGGAGTCTCAATAAATTTAGTATTAAAATATTTATACAAGTTTTTCTTTTCCTGAAAATACATTATTTGGTGGACTATGTATATTAAATCCACAGAGTTGATTGACATCTCACATACCCAGTTCATTGTCCTCATTCCCAAGAGGGGATAGAAATCCACAGAGGCAATTCTGATGATACACATATTATGATAGGCTTCTAACAAGCAAGTCAAAGTGGAAAACACCCCTTTAATGATTTTTCAAATGGCTTTTCATTTTTGGAAGAGGAGCCTTTCTTTTATTACCTTTGAAATTTCAGCTACCTCCATTATTTTCAGAGAAAGAAAGGCTAAATTATACAATTCTCTTGCTCTCTGGATATGTAAAAGTAAAGTTTGAAAAATGGCTCTGCCATTTTGTAGCATTGTGTATTTGCTTCACACTACTACTGATTGCTCTGGGAGCTAAATTAAATGCAAGGAATCTATGAAATACCTAACAAGATACTACACTTGAGAGAAGCTCAGGATATGTCAGAAGTTTCCTTGTTTACCTTGTATAGTTTACAATTCTCATTCATAAAATAGGGGCAATAGTTTTTCTTTTCAGAAAACTTACACAAAAATGAATTTAACTTAAAAACAAATCTAACAAAATCTCTTCAACCTCATTAGGAATAAAATGAATGGAAATTAAAACACTGTTATATCTATTTAAAAACTGATTACAGTATATGAGCAGAACTTTTTAGCAGAGCCAGCAAATCCAGTTACAGTGAAGTATTTGCTGCTGAGAATCAGAACTTGTGAAACGTGTCTACAAGAAAAGAAAGGAAAGTGAAGAAATGGGAGGTAATAAGGGAGGAGGGAAGAGGGATTCAAAAACATTCTTACTTTATGACCCCAAAACACCACATTATGGACTCTCTCTTTAAAAAATTAAACTTTTCAATAAAAATTTAAATAACTTTAAAAAGTGACAACAAAAAATAATTGACAGAGCCATGTACATCTAAATAATGCAATATTTTTAAATCATTTAAATATTAACGACAAGCATCAAAATGACTGCTGAATAACAAAAATGTAAAGTGGTAAAGTATCTCTGGAAAATAGTCTGACAGTTTCTGGAGAGGTTAACCACAGATTACCTTATAACTCACAAATCCTACAAGAAAAATGAAAACATATGTCCACACAAAATTTGTATACAAATATTCATGGTAGCATTATTCATAATAAGAGAGACAATGGAAATAATTCAAATGCCAATCAACTGGTGAGTGAGTAAACAGAATTTGGTATACACATGCAGCAGAATGTTATTTGAAAATAAAAAGGAATAAAGTAAAGATTGAGTATCCCTAATCTGAAATGCTTAGGACCAGAAGTGTTTTGGATTCAGATTTTTTTTTAAATTTTAGAATATCTGCATTTACATAATGAAATACCTTGGAACCCAAGCCTAAACACAAAACTCATTTGTGTTTATATATATATATATATATATATATAGTTATCTAATGTATAATATATATATGATTATCTAATGTATAATATATATATGAAGATCTCACCAAAAAAGTATCCACACTTCAGGAAAAAAAACTTATATAAGTATTTTAACACTAAATTTATTGAGATGTTTTGAGATTAACAATAGTTTTGGGACCCTAAAATTACAACAGGTGCTCCAAGCAGTGGCCATTAGCTTCCAGACATTTATTAATATGGCAAACTGCTGCTTGGGTAACTTTGATCGTAGAGATTGCTGCACATGCATTTTCAATTTTTTCTCTAAGAGGTGGTAGTGTAGTGGATTTTCTGTGATATACAACGTCCTCTATGGTCTCTTATATGAGGGTAAAACATCTGTTGAAAAAACATCACACTACTTTTCTTTTCCTGAAGTGTGTATACATTTTTTGGCAGACTCTATATATTACCTGAAGATAATTTTATATCACAATTTTAGTCCACCTGCCTTTTTTTTTTTTTTTTTTTTGTTCCAGGAGTCAAACTCAGGACCTTGCACTTACCAGGCAGGAGCTTGTGCCACTGAGCTATATCTCCAGACCTTACCTGCCTTTTGTTTCCTTTTTTTTTTTTTTAGATAGTCTCTCCATATGTAGATCAGGCTGGCCTTGAACTCGCCATGTAGTCAAGACTGGCCTGGAACTCACAGTGATCCTCTGTCTTAGTTTCTTGCATGCTTGGATTGCACTACCATACCTGGCAAGTACACTTGCCTTTTGACTCTGACCTGTCACATGAAGGCAAGTGTGGAATTTCACTTGTTGCATTATGTCAGCATTCAAAATGTTTCAGATTATGTATCATTTTGAATTTCAAATTTTCAGATTAGGAATGAACCTGCACTGATACATAAAACATCACGGAAGAATCTTGAACACATGATGACAGGTGAAAAAATTGGTCAAAACACACAGCATATTGTTTTTTTCCATTTACATGAAGTGTCCATAATAGCTAAATACATGGAGATAGATTCTGGCTTCATAGTTGTTCAGAGCTGAGGTTTCTCATGTTGATGGTTACACAACTATGTAAATTCAAAAAAATCACTGCATTATGTGCTTCAAATTAATGAATTGTGTGCTATGTAAATTAAATGTGGATAAAGCTGACTGAACAATTTTAATGACAAGATCAATACATATCTCTTATAACAATCAATAAAGAAGGATTCAAAAAATGTATGTGAAACATACAGCTATATAAAAAAGACCAGGAGATTCTGAATGATCTTTAAAAGGAACAGCTTTGGGAAAAATGGAGGTGATAACACCATTCTGGAAATTGGTGAGCATTTTAGGTCACTGATCTAGAAGATCTGAGAAAGATGAATCTGTGCTGGAAACTTACCAGAACCCTAAAGAATGAGGAATTGGCACACCATGACCCTGAAAATGGAGAGACAATCAGGAGGATTTGTTGAAAGCATTTGAGGAACAGATCCTAGATCTTCTCTTTGTCACCCACACTGGATGACTACCACTTCTCCCACTTCTATACAAAATTTCGGTTTCCTACTATAAATAGGACAAGACAGATGCAATCTGATCTGATCTAGGGCATCCTAAGCCTAAGTGAAGAATGAGAATTATACAAATGTGGAGGAATTTCTATGTTCCTCTGGAGATATTTCATATCTGTAAATGCTAAATTTTTTGAACATCCAGCCCACTTTCTCCACTCAACATACAGAACACTGGAGCCAGACCTTTGCTTTTAAGAAAGGAAAGAGCTTTGTTTAAGGAACCTGACAACCTCCCCCACCCAAAAAAAAATCCCTAGAAATACTAACATGGGTCCAATCAGAGCAACCTACAGAAGAGTTCATTTCAAATATCTCTATTAACATTCTAAGACTACCAATCAGCTATTTACACATCTTCTTTGAAATAACAGCAGATGCCAATTATAACAAAATACATGAGTGGAGCCTCTAACATGAATGAAAGAAACCAAAACAGACAGGATAAAAAGCCCCCTGGAGGAAAAGGGTACTATGCTATAGAAATGAAAAGAGATGCTGCTAGCTGCTAAAAAAAATCAAAACCACATAGAATAATGGCTTGCACCTGCATAAATTCCAAAACAGGAGTTTCTGGTTAACAAGGAGCTGTCCTCCAGATATTGATTTGGGAAGTGAGGATTCTTCCACCTTCTGAAAATTTATAATTTAGCTTCTATTTATTAGTGGAATCTCAAAATCACATAATTTCCATATGTAGAGAAACTAGGTCCACCCCTATTTATACCTAGAAAAAAACTTAAAAGAAAACAAAAGAACTATTAATTACCAAATTGTTCCAGGAAAAAAAAATAATCATATAAGTATGTGAATGAAAATTGCGGTGTGTTTATATAAAAATATTATTATAAAAGACACATTGCCATTAATCCCATCCAAAATACCCTCCTCACTTTGAACATGCATTCTTACCACATTTTGAAAGAGTCCTGAAAGTTCTGTTTCACTATGGTAGCTATCTCTGTGTTCTGAATAAATTCAAATGCTTATCTTTCATGGCCATTTTGGTATTAGGAAAGAGTAACAAGCTGCGTGATGGTAGATCCAGTGAATAAAGTAGATGAGGACACATTGTAATGTGATAGAGACCACTACAAAGCGGCTCTGAGCAGGATTTAAAATTAATCAATTGGCTTTCCATGTTCACTTGTGAGTCTGTCCCAGGCCTAGTCCTCTTGTATGGAGATGGGCAGCAGATTCATAGTAAGTGGGCTTCTATGAGTCACTAGTCCTAGCTGAGGCCTGTAGTGGCCTGTGAGGCTATGACACCTCAAAAGACAAGATAAGGCCACTAGTGAGGACGCCTGACTCTAACCCCAATTAACTAGATAGAAACAGTAGCTGCAGGTGTCTCACTCCTGCAGTGAATGTCAACCTGAAGATAAGACAGTTCTCCTAATTAGCATAATTTGCTACTTGGGGAAGTCTTTGTACTGACTCCCAAGGAAGGTCTTGCTCAGTTTTCCACACTTTCCTTTGTTTGAAAACCAAATAAATATGGGCCACCCAGAGAAGTTCTTGGTCTCAGACCCCAGAGAATCTTGAATTCTGCTACAGGGTTTTGATTCTCATGAGCCCTAAAACCATACCACTTGTCTCTTTTATAAGCCTTCACCATCCACTTATTTGGGAGGTTGATCAGTCTGAAAGGCCTGATCAGTCTGCAATAGTAATGTTTTTACAAGACTGCCTTTCTATTGGATGGCACTTACCAGCATTCGCTGTATCTTTTATCACACTTTGTAAAGACACTCACAAATGAAGACTTTCAGAACTGCTTCAGAATGTGGCAAAAATGATAGGATAAGTGTGTTCAAAGTGAATAGGAGTATTCTGAGGGAGATTAATGGCACTGTGTATTTTATTGTAATAAATTTTTAAAATTTAAACATTCATCATATTTTTTGATCACTTCTTATGCTACATAGTTCAGCTTTGAATTTCAGCTCCATATAAGAGGGATCAGTCAAAATCACATATAACTATATTAAGAAGATGGGAGATGAGATACATTTACAAAAATGATAGGGAGACCTAATTTCTCATCTTCTATAATGGCAAGTCCATAGATAATGCCTGAAGCTCTGAAAATTAAAAAAAAAAAAATTTTAAATGTTGTAGTGAGGGTTTGCAAGGGATAGATTTAATACAGGACACATAATTTATATAATTATTTTATAATACTCATCCAAAAATTCAAATGTAAAGGAGTGCAAGAGATCTGTCCACACAATAGAGATACAAAGGATCCAGCTGAGGGCCTGGATCTCCCAGCAATGTCCTGCAAAAGTGCAACTGAAAACCAAAAGTCCATCGCAATGTCCTCCACAAGTCCATCTGGGGGCCTAGAGCTCACGACATGTAAGTCTTTGTCATGGATCTGCACCCAAAAGTCAGTGGCAGAAGCTGGAAAATCTACACCAGCATGGTGAAGGATCTGTGCCAGCAGGCGGGAGGATCCGCACTGGGCCAGGAAGCTATGCTCAAAGTAAGGACCAGCACTCCTCCAAAGAGAGCCACAGCCATCCTCAGCAACAGCAAGGACCTGATCTGACAGAACACTGAGTTCATTTCAGAAAAATTTGCATGACAAGCTTCTCCAGCAATAGTATGCCAGCTTCCTCTCCGGTTCTCCTTTTATGCTGTTGGCAACAATCTTAGGTGGGCCTTCCACACCCAGAACCACACAGACTCAGTTCAGCTGGGTGTTCCAAGTTGACCATTAGTCCACCACAAATAATAGTAAAAGATGTTATGTAGAGGTTAGATCAATACAGGAGAACAAGCTTTAAGAAGCTGAAGTGATTTCTAAGAAGGGGAATTTAGGGAGAATGAAAACTTTTTAAACTATGTGAATATAACTATAATTTTTTAAAATAAAAAATGGTTAAAATACTTTAAGGTATTAACAGTAGCTGCCCTTGGGTAAAAGATTTTTGAATGAAGTTTTAAATATTCTCTTTTCCATCTACATTTTTGGCATGTTCTAAAATAAAAATGGATTACTTTTGCATTTAAAATATTATAAAGGTAAAATACAAAAGTAGTAAGTCTGTCTATATCAAAAATTGTAATAATTAAATGTTAAATGTTTTTCAAACTGTTTCTTAAATTTTTTAAATCTGACTTAAATAGACAAGAGATGCGTTTTATGAGGTTAAATTGCTCCTCATTTGATAAAAATTTTGCAAACATTTGGCCTTTTGAAAAAAACCAGATATATATCAGATACCTCCCTCATATTTTTAATTATCTTGTCTTCTCATTCTTTTAATGACAACAAAATAACTGTCTCCATGGGAAAGATTGTAATTTTAGGGACATTTTTAGGCAAACACTTGCCCAGTAATTACAAGAGTAAGCAGGGCCAACTGTCACTAAATGTGTCAAGTTTCCCTTCTTCCAGCACCATTTCATGTCAATGGCTTTGCCTTTCTGCCAAAAATGTGCAAATTTCTCAAGGTCAAAAATGCACACACACTCTCTCACTTCTTCTCTTCCTTTTTTTTTAATTCTTTCTTGCCCAGTTCCAGATGCTGTGGGGAACAAAACCTAACATCTGTATAATCCTTTATAACTTTCACAAAACATATTTACATTTAATGCCACCAATAACCCTTTCAGGAAGGTGCTGGTATTTTCTCCTTTTAACATAAAAGCAATAAAACTAGGGCCAGGGATATAGCTCAATGGCATAGCACTTGCCTGACAAGCACAAGGTCTTGAGTTCAATTCCTGGTACCAAAAAAAAAGCAAAAAAAAAACAGAATCACAGAGTGATCTGCCAGAGAAACCACAGGAGGGGCCCTGGTTGCATCATCTTCATTATCATTACTTATAGTAGGTACTCAAAGAGAAATGGAGGTCAGCCAAGAGAAACCCGAGAAGAAACTGGAACCTTCCACTTGATCTAGATTATGCTGTTTTGTTCACTTGGCAGAAGAGTGCATAGTCATCCTGAAGTATAGGCTAGAAAGCTCTCTTAAAAAAGACAAGGACATGATAGGAGGACTGGGCCATGCTATTAAAGAAGCAAAAGGGAAATCCAAAGCATTCCTAGTTATGAGATGACGGAGTACTTCTGGGGAGATTTTCAAAAGCAGGCTTCTCCCTCTCTCCCTTTCTCTTTCTCTTTCTCTGTCTCTGTCTGTCTGTCTGTCTGTCTCTCTCTCTCTCTCTCTCTCCCTCTCTCTCCCTCTCTCTCAGCTTGCCTCCACTAGTTATGGCATCACCCAAAACTAAGATTTGCCTGAAGATTTGTGCTCAGTTCCTTACAAGACAAGGCAACAGGGTAAGGGACACTCTCCAGTGAAGGAACACTCCTAATACTGTGACGCTGTCAGCACTGTACACAGAACCAATTGAAATGTGCTAATTTGGACCAATCAGAAACTTGCTACTTTCAATCTTTCCTTTGAATCTGGTGCCCTTCACATGACCAATCAGAAGGTGCTCTTTTAAATCTTTCATTTGTGTGTGGGCACAATCAAATCAAAAGACACTATTTCTGATCTTTCATTTACATTTAACAGGAAGCCAAACTAGTTTTTGATAGTATAGCTTATGTGTGGCAAGGCACCAAGCAAGTATTTGAGAAGATGAAATTCCCAATTCCATAATAGAAAGATAATCTGGGAATTTTGAATACAAAAGACTCCTTTCCTTAATCCTCTGGGCCTCTGTGAGCCTTTTCACTGGCCTACTCTCACTCTGCAGAATGCATTTCTTTTCTGCCTTCAATAAAAGTAACACTGCCACTGCATTTTCTGTGTGTCTTGCCCAATAATTTGTTCAGGACACCAAGAACCTGGAAAAAAGCCCTACAGAACTCTATATCTGGTAGCACTTAGCCTTGGTCTTATTCATGGGGCTTCTTCTGGTTGCCGTAGCAGCATACATTAAACTCCAAGAATTTTTGTTCTAATCATTACTTGAGCTAGGAAAGGAGAACTGGGAGGCTACAGATAAGTGAAAAAGTTCTTAAATACCAATTTTTTTCTAAGACATTAGACTGTGCAACAAGGTGGTGCTGTATGCCACACACCATCCTCTCCCCAAAGGATTCCCCAAGAGTATGCACAGAGGTCAGGAGTGAGAGGGCAGGTCTGGATGTACAACACTGGAGAAGCTTAGCAAGAACCTTTTCCTTGGTTCACAGCCAGTTTGGGAACAATGCCCTTCTGACAAACAAAATTCTTTATAGTCTTAAATACAAAAAGAATGTAGCCTCTGGGGGTTACTTTATGTGAAAAGAGAAGTGTTTCCCCTCCATCGAAAAGAGAATACTTAATGCAGAAAGATCAAAATATTTTAACAGAATAAAAAACCGAGAATCAGTCTATCAGAAAATCTAAACAGATGCTAGGAAAATATACTGAAAACTTACCTTAGTCTCCCGGCTCTCCTGTTCCACCACAGAGAAACATACTTGTTCAATGGCAAGCAAGGACATATGTTTCTAGCCATGAACTCTCCAGAAGCGCATATTCTATGAACATGAGCAGTGTGAGAGACAGTCTTCAATTTGTCTTTTCTGTAAAGAAGCACAAAGCTGTTCACATGATGTCACTTGGCCTAATGCTACACTGGAAGCCTGTAAAAATGAACTGTGCAAAGCCAACAGAACTTACTTTAGGGCAGTAGCTTTGGTGTGGCCTTCACTGATGAAAGGATAGGGCTTTCTTAATAGTACTTGCTCCTTTATTTTCCCTGTCAGACTCTAAGCCTATGGTGACCAAATTCTGCCCTCACTGGGGACATCACTAACCACTGCCTGGTGCAAAGTGATTGAGCAATAAGGACAGAAGAAATGAAGAAAATAGGGAGGACACGGTATACCTTAAATGTGTCTAAACATCAGTAGTCATAGGAATTTTCATTGATGTTTTTGAATAGACAAAAGTCGATTTGGAATGGACTCAGGTAAACGCTAGAAGTGGGAGGTTACTAAGGCAACCCTCATGTCTAAATCCAGGTGGAAGTGATGCTTGTTCAATGAGGGGGAAATGGGTGTGTTTTCTGATCACTTTGCTACAAAGCCAGGACTTTTCTCAGAAAGTTATTTAGTAGCTTACCTAAGATTAACTCCATTTCAGCACTGAAGGCCTTGAGTCCCAAGAAACCCTCAGTTCCCACAATATTGGAATGGTCAGTCTCCTTGGAGAGGTAGTACAGATGCTCCAGCACTCAGGCAGGTAACAGCCTTCTGTTGGAGTCTAACTCACAAAGCACATAAGACATTAATCTAGGGCAGGCCATTCTGAAGAAAGAAAACATTTATTCTATCATAAATGTATCTTTTTAATCAGTAGCTAACTTTGAGCAGGACTTCATTCTGATGTCCTACCGAGATATTTTAACCACAGAATTGACTTCAGGTTATCTAAAATGAGAACATGTGTGGATTCACTTTAGGGTTCTTAAAATGAGTTGTCCTATTGGTTAGAGTGGTTCACATACCTAGATACTAAAGTGCCTATACTATTAAGCTGAACATGTGAATAACTGATACTGTGGTTTTTATAAAAATCAATGATTGACTACAAATATCAATAGATTCTTGAAGATACCTCAGAAATTGTGGCCAGGTTATTAATTTACCATCTCATTTTCCTTGAAAGAAGGACATCATGCACTCCAGCTAACAGAACCAAATGCTGTAGATATGAATTGAGACAGAGGAGGCTAAGAGTCAGCCTTGTTTCTACCATTGCATTGTTTTGTACGGTACACATTCTTTCCATTGTAATCTCAATGGAGATTACACTGGTTTTACATTACGATGGTTTGGGGATACTCTAGAAACAAACGTGATCTTGAGCTTCAGAGATGACAGATAATCTGGCTCTTGGAGATTTTTTCATTAATTGAATCAAAGGTCAGTAAGTGATGTAAAGATTTATATCCATAGTGAAGCAAAGGAAGACTACCACTTTTGTATTTCTGGAATAGATACTGTCATAGTTTGGGGTTTTATAAGGGATAACAATTTAATACAGGACACATAGTTGATAGAATTATTTTATAATACTCACTCAAATAAAAATACACAAGGAGAGTGCAGGAAATCTGCCCACACACTAAAGACCAAAGAATCCAGCTGAGGGCCTGGATCCCACAGTAACATCCTGCATGAGTTCAACTGAAGATCTAGAGCCAATAACAATGCCTCCCACAAGTCCAACTGGAGGCCAAGAGCCCATAACAATGTCTCATTCAGGCCTGTTTCATGGATCTGTGCTGGGAAGGCCCAAAGTTCAGTGGTGCCAGTGGGGTGAAGGATCTGTGCTAGCAGGCTCAGGGATCTGAACTGGAACCAGGAAGCGATGCTCAAAGTAAGAACCAGAGCTTCCCCCAAAAGTACCACAGCCATCCTCAGCAACATTGAAGTCCCAAGCTCCTCTGAGGATGAGGAAAGCCAAGTTCCCATGAGGTAAGCCAGCACAACAAGCTTCTCCAAGAGACTGAGCAGTGCACCATCTTCCCCTCTGGAGCCAAGAAACCATGCTCAAAGTGAGGACCAGAGGACCCTCAAAGCGAACCATAGCCATTCTCAGCGACAACAAGGTCCCAAGCTCCTTCGACAGTGAGAACAGCCAAGTTCATCGGGAAAGCCAGGATGACAATTTCCTCCAGGAAAATCAACAGCTCCCTACAGCTTCGCTAACCGCTTCCCAACAGCTTCTAAACAGCTTCTAATAGCCTCACTTCTTCTTCTCCAGTTTTGCCTCTCACACTGCTGGCAATGATCCTCAGGTGGGCCTCCCACACCCAGCACCATGCTGGTTCAGTTCAGCTGGGCCCCGCACGTTGACCACCAGTTGTCAATCCACCACAAACACCAACATATAGTGAGATTTACACGTGACACTGTAGAATGCCCCTATGCTGCCATCTCTGGGGAAAACTTGTCCTAATATTTTTTAATTCTCTGACTAATTCAAGGTTTAAAATATGCAATAAGTAAATTATGACAGCCTAGAAAATTAGAACACACTACAGTTTGTATAAAGGCTCAACATGTCTTCCAGGGTAAGATGTTTCAGTACTTACCTAAAGGGTTTACTTCTGAATGAACTTTCACCTTCACCAGGAACTGATTACTCATTCAGCTGAAAAATTTAACTGCAAATGCTTTCAGTTCACTGGTAATCCGCAATAGAGTTTTGTGCTGGAGAATTAAACAAGTATAAATCAATGAGTTTTACTCAACTTCATGTTCCATACAGCACACATTCCTTGAAAATGCACACAAAATATTAAAATCCTTGATGCTCTTATGAAAAGCAATGTTTTCCTGCTACATTTATCCATGTATAACCACTACAGTGTCCTAAAACTCTTATAACCACAGGGCTGAGGCGTGACTCAATTTTCTTTGTTTATATAAATAAATCATCAGCAAAATTGCTGCCTTTGGAGTTTTGTGTTACTATTCCATTTTTTTTGGATAAATGACAATTTACAAATTATAAGAAGGGACTAAATTTTATATCTGGATGTAAAACTAACAATGTATGACTTCTTCCATGAATCTATGCAGATAAGAAAGATACGTACTGTATTATAAATTATGAAACACAAGTAATTCTAATAAAGAGATGTTTTAGAATGATCGTATTTTATTCTCTTCAAAAACAGTATATCTCTAATGAGTTGTTTCTCACCATAACCTAAAGCTCATGTTTTCCACACGTCAGGGTTTACTGAACAAACATAAGAGGATGTGTAATTACTATTCCCTCTCGAGGAACATCTGTTTCCAAAGGAATGTTGGCAGAGTTTACAAGTGATATTGGACTGCCAGGCACAAAGATTACAATCTGGTTCATTCTTGCCCGGGCATTCCTTCCTCCAGGGAAGCCCTGTCTAGAGGTGCATATGCCAGAGTTTAAAGTGGGTTACTGTACATTCTCAGTGGAAAATACACAAAGGTTGGAAGGAGGAAGTAGTTATAGAGAGTTTTACTATGCCCCTTAACTATTTACACTCAACATTCTAAAAAAATCCATGTACGTATAAAAATCTTTGAGAAAATAAAATAAAATTCTAAAGAGAAATATTTCTAGTCATGCTATTCATCATCAACAAGTATTTGAGAGAATTAATTCCTTTGAAGTATAAGGAGCCATCAGGGTTTGTATGAAGAAATATATTCCACATTAGTCATAGAATAGTTATATTTCAGACATCTAGTTGGCTGACTGGGTTTCATAGGATTCCATAATTTCTATTTATCAACTTTCACTGGATCTTCAAAAATTTGGTGAAGAACAGATTTCTAGTAGATTACTTAGGCCAAGGAATACAACATCAACTTATAGTGAAAAGATTCGTTATCATGAGCAGTTTTAATACTGATGAGAAGAGATGGCATTTGGGTGTTACTGTAAGCTACAGAACAATGGTTTAAGGAACACGACTCATTCAAAGTTAAGATTTGATGGATGGGAGAGACTTTGCCTTCAAACTAATTAAAAACAGAATTGAATGAAAGAGAGCTGAAAAAGAAGGAAAATCAGTTCAAATGGCCACATACAAAAAAAAAAAAAAAAGGAATAGAAGAAGCATTAGCACATGCCATTGCCCAGACTGCCAGGAAGCATTTATTTTTCCAGTTCAGAACTGGGTGCATGAAAGAACTGGGATATATGTGCGAGAATTTACACTGAATGACATTAATCATTAATTATATTTCAACTGCTGGGTATCAAGTTTTGCTAGATGACAACGTTTCACAGAGTCAGATGATACACTGAGAAATAATGTGGCACTAGGACTCAAGATACTTGTGTGAAGCCTGACTTATTTTGAGCCTAGATCAGTCACTTAACTTACTTTCAACAAATTTCTCATTGAGGTCCTTATTGTAAATTCTTTACATGTGTACTGTGATGATTAAATAATGTAGTAAAATAGAAATATAGTCATACAGTAATTTATAACATAAATGAAGCCATTTTAAAGACATATAGTCCACAATTAAAATATGCTATTGCTATCACACACATCAGTTCCAGAAGTTTGTCTTAATTTTTACATTCAGACAACTTACTGCAATCAATTCCTTTCATGTCTTTTACGAAGTCAAAACCATGGGTTCATTTCAGTGAATGGCATTATTCTTAAATTGATCACCATAGAAAAATAGAATCTGCTCAGTAAATACCAACTGACAGTGCAGCAATCCCTGTTCACACCCAGGTTACTCACACCACTGCCCTTTCCTCTAGTTCCCATTCATCATACCGGCAAGGTAAAGGTTACATAACTGCAACACTTCCCCTACAACTCAAGATTGGGTTAGTTTAGTTTCCTATGCACAGAAGGCTTCTGCAACTACTCACCAAGAAGCTCAGATGAACTCCATAATGATCATACTCCAATGATTACAGTTCACAGAAACTGCCCAACAAGAACCACAAAAATAAAAAATAAAAATATAAGTATGAAGCCATGACTCAGTGACACAGAAATGTTTTCTCCCTCCTCCAAGTTAAATACAAATGTATGTCTGGTTATGAAAGAACTGTCCAGGAGGTTTAGTAGGTTCTGGGGTCAAGAAGCCCAGACTTCATTGTCCACCGTCTCTCCTGCTCAAAGGTTTAGACAGGAAGCCAAGGGGCACATGGATAGAAACTGCTGAGGTCTTTTTCTCTTTTGGTCTTTGTAGAAGATAGTGAAGTTCCAAGGCTGTGGGTCTCCCTTTAAGCATAAACAGCGGCAAGAGCTAAAAATGACTGCCATACTTGAATGTCAGATAAACACACCACGACAAGCAGAGATTTTTGGCTTTATATTAAAGCTTGGTTTTTCAGCAGCGCTTTTGTGGCCTCTAACGACAATGGCCTCAGTGTTTCTCAGCCAGCTCCCTGGGACCCTGGGCTGAGTCTTCCTTGCCACAACTCAACAGCGTTCACTCCGCAAGCAGAGCTAGTATCCTCTTGGGGTTTGAAACCAAGCCATCTCTCCCTTTAGGCCCGTTGCTGCGGAAGTATTTGTTTACTGAAACGAAAGAGCAATGGTCTAACTTGAAATTTGCAGACCAAGTCCAGGGATGTCCTTGGGTGGTTTCTGCTTGGCTGGGAACCAGCAGGTTAACTATGGTCCTGCGACAGACTGCGCTGGAGGGTGTTGAGGATCCCACCACTTCATTAATGTTCTGTAGGTTTAATTTTTAAATTGGCAGTTAATAATTTTAGTCTATGTCTCTTAGCGACAGCACTGGCTTTTTACTCTCTTTCCAGCATAGCAGCTAAACCAAATCAAAACCATCTTATGTGGCAGAGTGTCTCTGGCATTTACGCGGTTAAGTATTTTGGACACAGACCTGTAGTCATTTGGAGACGATGGTGTGCGGTCATCTCTGTCACCTCATCCCCAGACATCACTCTTCTGAAGCTCCACATCAGGAACCCCACGTCCTCTGGCAGAAAACACTTACACACCGCAGGTACTTGTCTTGCTCTATCCTCCTCTCACAAAGGATTCCCCTCTGGTAATTTTTTAACCTGAAGTACAATAAGTGAATACAAAAGGGTACAGTAATATTTGAATTACCATTATTTACATAATATAACTAGGCTCCCTTTCTAATTATTGGATCATTATATATTTAATTATAAGTCTAATTATTTAATAAGTTTAATAAGTCAAGGGAAGTTATTTAATCATAAACACAGTGGCATCTATTTACGATGTTTCTATCACCTTTGAATTTGTGAAACACTAACAGGCATAATGCTCACTCAGTGACACCGGATGTTTTATCTGTAGAACAAAGTAGAGTTTAAGGCTCCTGACAATGCCTCCCACTTCCACAACTCTGTATAGAATGCAGTACATGTGAGTAACAGTTGTCAGGTTTGATCTTCAAAACCATCCTCCTGGGGATCACTATCATCTCTATTTCATAAGTTAAGAAACCGAGCCTGAAAACTTGGGGAGATTACTGGTGATCATGCAAATAATGTGGCAATTTAGGAATCAAATGCAGTTTTCCTTATTATGAATCTAGTTTTCATTTGGATGGAGCTTGCTACATGAATAACCAGAAATATAAGTAGTACAACATTTGTAAACAACCTGATAATCTGGATATAACTGTTGTCTTATTGAGACTTAAGAAAGAATACATTTCTTCTTCTGCAAAAACCCATTTTATGCCAAACTGTAACTCCTTTGCCATTCACAGCTTCACAGCGGGGTTACCATAGGAATTATCAAGAGGCTGTTCCCAGCATAGGTTCTGTTCATTCATTCACTCATCCACTCACCCATTCACTTTTTTTAACTATTTAATTACCCATCTATTTATTTATATGAGGAACAATATATTTTTATCTCTTCCTTGCACTATCAACCCTATAATTTGATAAAATAAAGTCTTAATAATCAAAGCACGAGGAACAGTGCAGCCCACTTCACACATATATTGTGAAAGAAAACTAATAAAAATTAATATCACACCTAGCAACTACATTGTTCTCAGCACTTTTACCACCATTCATCACTGGTCTCAGTGGAATATACGAATTTAAGGCTCCTTCTCAAGAAAACATAATCATGCTACCACTGCTTTCAGTATTTGTTTTGTTATATTTTTATTATTTTAAAGAGAAAAGAATAAAAACAAAACAAAAATAATAACAAAGCAACTCAAAAACTATAAAAATGATACAGAATTTCAAAACAAGATGATAGGAAATCAACAATGGTTGTTGTATTACTTATTGTTATCTTTAAAGTAGTTGCTCAGATTACCAGATAGAGGTATGCAAGACTGATCAAACAATTAAACATTAACTGTTCTTTTCAATAAACCAGTAGAAATTAGTAGTACAATTATTTTAGCTATTTTGTGTGTGTATATATATACATACATGTGTGTGTATGTGTATATATATATACTGCTTTCAGTATTTCTGGCAAAATCATGATTCATTTCACAAACACAAAGAATTCATTGCAGCAAAATTACATTGAACTAAAAAAGAAAATAGCCACACTAACTCCATATCTGTTGTGCTGGATTCCATCTCTACCCTTACATGTCATGAAGATGGGCACAGCCTGCACTGGCCTCCTGCTTCTTTCTCTGCTTTTACTATGAATCAGTCCTCTCTCAGATTGACATTTTTCAGCAGATATACTGATATATTCAGTCAGGCTCTACTCCAGTCTGATATACCAGGAAACTGTCCAGTTCTTACACATCTCTGCTCAGCTCCATTATCTGCTGAACTTGATGGATTGTTCTTGGAATGGTGTCTCATGAAAAAAATTTTCCTTGCATTTTTTTTAAATTCTCAGGGAATGGGCAGTGCCTTACTATGCCCTTATCAAATGGAGACAAGTGTTCCAGAAAGAATAGGCCTGGGAATGCTGGAGAGTTCATAGGGCTTCATGAACCGAGATGGCTTGAGTTGGATTTTGACAGATCTGTGGAACTTCTGAAGGTAAAGTAGTGTGGATGGGCAGAGGCACAGCTGAGAGTAGAAATGGGCATGGTGTGTCGGGGACTTAGGGCTGCTTTGGCTGGAATGGAAGGCTGCCTTGATGGTGGGAGAGGTCAAGTAGACCAGGTAGTTGAACTGAAAGAGGAGAGTCAAGATTGTCAGCTTATTAAATTATTTTTTTAATATTCTAAAATCCAGTTTATAATATCCATGGATAAAGTTCAAAGAGAAAAGGAGAGAAAACAGATACTGACATTAATAGAAGATTCATTCTCTGACTATATTCTACCTGGGATATGCAAACTCACCCCGAATGCTGGATCCAGCAGAATTAAAGGGAAAGCTGTGTTTCAACAGGAACTCAGTGAACTATGGACCAGAGATTGACCAACAGCCAAATTCTTCTGTGTGCATTCAAAGGGGACTGTTAGTATTATTCCTCACACAATATTTTTGTGACAAAAGAAAACAGTAACTCTCAAATCATAGCTATAAGCTAGGATTCCTCAGATTTCAGTTGTGTTCTGAGCCCTGAGCAGGGCAAATGATCACATGTAGATAAATACCACACTGAGTAAAACTGCAATGCTCAAAGCAAAATATCAAGAGAAAATGAGAGAAAAAACTAGAGATCTGCAAGACTCCTTATCACTGATGATCTATGTTTAATAAGACTATGAACCAAAAACTAAAAAGTCAACCATACTGTCCATAGGTATGGCCTACAATTATACTGTAGGAGGACAACAAAGCATTCTGTTTGCATTAATAATGGTGACTCAACAAAATAAAATCCAAAACCTATATAACTAATGTCTCCTTTTCACAATACTCTGAATCCTAGTGCAGTTGAAGTAAACTTGATTATAAATAATGTTTAAAACCAAGAGAGAGGAAAGAGTTCGGATTGAAGGTAAATGTACCAGTGCTCTTTGCTGGGCACTTGTGTTTAATCCTTGTGCCTCCAGAAGCTTTCTGTTACCTTTCTTTATCCCTTGGAAGTTCTCTTCAGAAATCCCTACACCCCACTCTCTTCCTACCCTCTTTTTCCCAGCATCCTAACCTGTCAGTACCGACCTGTCTTTGAAATCAGCCTCTGCTCACACTCTGAGTTGCTCTGTCAAACACTATTGGTTAATGAACTTGTGGGCAAAGAACTAGGAGAACTGAGGGAGGATATATGTGTGTTTATGCATTTTAGTTAAAAAAAGAAAAGAGAAAACTTTCTCTCCTGGTAGCCATATCAGGAATAGCAGAGTTAAACTGACTACAATGATGATCTTTTAGTTGCATTTCTTTCCCCGGACACCACCCCCAGCAAAGCAGTAATCCTGTTCTCAAAATCTCCTGTGCTACCTGGCCTGGCACTTTGTAGTCTGGCTGTAACAGAAGGCTTCTTCTATAGTTTCCCTGGAGTTCGTCTGCTACAGAAAGTATTCCTTTGATCAGAATCTGTCAGTTCAGCTACCACACTCACAAACCCGCTGCTTTGCTTTACATCTGTGCAAGTTGATCTCATGGCCTTGAGTGGAAGGCGAAGATGTCAGAGCACACCTTGATCCAGTCTGCAGTAGAGTAAGTGCTCTCTGACATCTTACCTTGGCATTGGGAAGAATTTCCCAAAGGGAAATATGTCTGAACACACACACACACACACACACACACACACACACACACACAAACACACCTGACTAAGACTAGAAGAGTTTAGAGAGAATCAAGAATTAGAAACTCTAGGGAATCTCTTTGAGGAAACATTGTCTCAAAGTAGGGCACTGCTACCCTTGGCCATTAGGAAGTGACTTAATTCATGAGCCTAGTCTGCTTTTGCTAGTAAGACAAGGACCACCAAAGGACGGGTACACACCTGGGGCCTTGATGCAAGGTCTGGTACCCATTACAAGCGTGATATGTGTTCTTCCCTATCCCTTTACTCTCACAGTCTTGTCAACTTCAAAAACAAGGTGCTTCACTAAAGCCAGGATGCCTTCACCAATACACCTCAAAGAATAAGGTAGATCAAAGAATAAAACTCTTGCGGATCACTGCAGAGGGAGAGGGCAAGCTCCTGAGCCCTTAAACTTCCTTGTTATGTATTTTTTTTCCACGCTCTCCCTCATGTGTTCTCTTAAACAGCAGCAGCAGCTCATCCTTATCACAAGGCCAGGGTGTTCATGCAGAATGAGAATACTGATAGAAAGAATATCACTCCTGGATAACAGACCGCAAAGGTGAAATGTTTGCACAGGAAAAAGCATGCTTTGGAAAATGTTTCTGGGCCCCCATAAAAAAAATCCTAGCTTCTTGCCCACCTTTGCAACTCCTGAACATGAATAAAAAGCTTACCCCTTTCTTTGTTAATGGGCCAAGCTGATATACCTCTCTATCAGGACTGCCCCTCCTATAACCCTCTCCCAATAAAGCTTTACTTGCATACTCAAACTCTATGGCTTGGTTCCATTTCTACTTCTTCTCGGACAGAAGTCTCCACGTGTCAGGTATGACAAGTATTTTCCATCTGAGAACTTGGCTTTTATATCTTTGATCTCCACTTCTCTGCTTGTATTAGTCAGCTTTTCCAGTCCTGAGACAAACATTTGTGGGCGATTTTAGATCTAAACCCTAACACTGACTTAAAAATAACTGTATTTTACTTTCCACTTTCAAAATACTCAACACAAAATATTTCATATACAGTCACCAAAATGTGTGCAGTTTCTCACAATTCCCAAGCAAATGCCAACTACACACCCTACAATTTAACTAAGTTCTGACATTATACCTGGAGATAGCAGCAGATCCCCCAGGTTGAGAGCTCAAGCCCACTAGACTGCCTCAACTTCAGTTACTAATCGTAAGTAATAAGGTGTTAGCTGTATTCTGACCAATTGATTATAAGCCAGGGGTTCCTATACCCACTTTCAAGGTTAGATTAGTTTGCTAGAGTGGTTCACAAACTCAAGGAAACATTTTATTTATATTTACCCACTTATTACAAAGGTTATTTTAAAACATATAGATGAAACGCCAAATGGAAGAGAGGCCCAGGGCAA